GAGATTACAAGTACAGGATACTGCACCAAGTTTTGAGTTCTGAGGTTTGAATTCAGCAAATCTTTACTGACTGAGCCATTTCCCTGGAACCTAAAGCATTTTCTTCTTCTTGGTTTTTTTTTTTTTTTTTTTTGGTTTTTCGAGACAAGGTTTCTCTGTGTAGCTTTTGGAACCTGTCCTGGCACTCCCTCTGGAGACCAGGCTGGCCTCGAACTCAGAGCTCCACCTGCCTCTGCCTTCCAGGGGCGTGCTGGGATCAAAGGCGTGCGCCACCAATGCCAAACCTCTAAAGCATTTTTTAATCTTATTTAGTTTTATCTTATGGCTACTAGGTAGATAATATCCTCATTAAAAAATAATAATGCTGGGGGAACAGCTCAGTTGGTAAGGTTCCTGTAGTGCTAAATATGAGGACCTGCGTTTTAGCTCCAGCACCCACGTAAGGAAGACTGGAACGCCGGGCATTGGTGGCACACGCCTTTAGTCCCAGCACCTGGGAGGCAGAAGCAGGTGAATCTCTGTGAGTTGGAAGCCGGCCTGGTCTATGGAGCGAGTTCCAGGACAGCCTCCAAAGCAATATAGAGAAACCCCGTCTCGAAACCCCACCCCACGCCCACAAAAAAAAGAAAAAGAAAGACTGGCACAGCAATGTGAGCATGAAATTCCAGTGATGGGATGATACAGATAAGAGGATACTGTCTTGCTGGGCAGCTGGTCTAGCCAAATCAGTGAGTTCTAGGTTCAATGAGAGATCCTATTTCAAGAAATAAAGAAAATAATAAATTAGGAGCTGGAGAGATGGCTCACTGGTTGCTCCTACAGAAGACTGCAGCTCATGTCTCAGCATCCACATGGAGGCTCAGAACCATCTGTGAACTCTGACACCCTCTTTTGGACACCATGAGCACTGCATGTATGTGGTGCACAGACATGCATGTAGACAAAATACATAAAAGAAATAAAAATTTAAAGTTGTCATTTAAAAAATAAGCTGGAGAGTGATTGAGAAAGACACCTGACATCAACCCTTGTACAAATGAACACATATACACATTGATAAACAAGTACACACATATGCACTGATAATAATAAACAACCCAACAGAATAAACCAAATTATCAGGTCCCACAATAAAAGCTCTAAATAACAATCAAAATTCTGTCCCAGGTGCAGCAATATAGTGAGAAAACTATTTTTCCTTGTCTTCAAATCCCATGTAACTCCATACCACTCCCTACCTTTGTTCATTCACCTATTCAACAATTGTTAGTAACACGTACGTAAGTGCCAAATACTACCTTCAGTGGTGGGGGAAGCTGCTACTAGTTGTTTTTAATTAGAATTGCCTTTCAACTTGCAAAAATCCTGTGGAAACAGGTTTGCCTCCTTGAGCAATAATGACATTCTTCACAAAAAGCCCATCACACTTAACAATCCGACATGTCAATCACTGAAGAGAGTCAGGATGTTGCTTGCTTTTGTCCTCTTTCTATGTTCCTCAGGGTTTCAGACTTGTGAGTTTATAGCAAGACTCTGGATTCTCTCAGGCACTGATGCCTTTTTTTTTAAAGATTTTATTTATTATGTATACAACATTCTGCTTCCATGTATATCTGTACACCAGAAGAAGTCACCAGATCTCATAACGGATGGTTGTGAACCACCATGTGGTTGCCGGGAATTGAACTCAGG